TGTTTTATAATTATATAACATTTTTAATTTTTAAATACATTTTTTAAACATTTTTAATTTTATTTAAATTAGAATACAAAAAATAGTCCCAAATTAGAATATAGAGGCATAAGATGAATGTGGAGCAGATCAGATTTTATTATCTTGGCCAATCTGAGCACAGTTTGAAACATAGTTGAGATTCCTCCTGAAACTCTAGAGGAGACACGTGAGATTACTGCCTCCTAGAAATATCAATTCTGTCAAATATATATAAAAAAAAAAAAACAGGCTACAGTCACTTTGTTAACCAGAATAAATCCAGTAAATAAAAATAATAAATAAATATGCATAAATAAGTAAGGCAGTAAACTAAACTAGTCTCTATGACATTGGTTAAACTGCACAGAAAGGCATGAAGAAGCTGTCAGAAGAAGTGAAATCATGTCATGAGGATCTTGAGCTCTAAACTCGCGTGTTGCACCGTTTCAAAGTGAACAGGCTGATGTTTATGTAACACTCGTATCTTAAATGAATAATGCCAAACATCTCATACCTGCGCAGCCATGAATGAAAGATCCATGATGAGCACGTGTGTTTAATTCCTGGATTTTCACAGCAGAAAGGTCTCCAAACGTCCTCCGAGTTCATCCTTACAGATCCATCATGAAACACAGCGATCATGAACGAGTGGAGCTGGAGAGAGCAGAGCAGAACAGAGAGACAAACAGTGTTGTAGCTGTGAGAGACTCTCTCACTCTCTCACTGATCTGCTCTCTCTCTCATATCCCATCCTGCGTGCTCACACTAATAATGCCTGGATGATTTCACTTCAGGATCAAAAGAAAATAAGCAACTGTTTTTTGCATAAAGAAAATTAATCTATTTTATTTTATTTTATTTGCATTTCAACTTTTTTTTACATTTATGCCCCAAATTCTCATTACTGTAATACAGTACCAAAATATATTTTAATTTTAGGTAGATAATTTAATTACATTCCATACATTCCATACTGTGTGTCTTCTGACATAAAATTATTTAATCTCAAATCAATATTTAATTTAATTTATTTATTGCTTGCTATAAATGTGGATAGCAGCTCAGATGGTTTGTTTGATTTCATATTGATATCTTTGGCTTTTGGTTGCAGACTTAGTGATCTTTTCATACCTGAGCACAGATTGAGACATTTTTTGAGATCTCTTCTGAAACTCTAGTTGATCTACTTATTTAGATTTTTCCATTTCTCTCCATTTATTCTCATTGCACTCCAGGAGAAGGATTTGAGATATAGATATTATTTGCGAAATATGAGTTGTAGACGTTACTTCTTAATATTTTAATTTTCACTTTATCATGGGTTTATCATCAAGCAGTCTTAGCCATGACTTCAGAAACAAGCTCAAAAGATTTGCATCAAAAGTGCTGGTTTAATATCATGAACACATGCTGAGATGCTTCTTAGCAAAGATCTCAGTAACTCAACCTTTCTTAAATCTCTCATGCAGTTGAACCACCATCATTTGTGTTCGCTCATATCCTTCATCATTATAGGCTGTTTCTGGTTTGGTTCTTCTTGCTATCTTTGCGTTTGCTCTCCTGATAGCCGTGACCCACCTTTCACTTCCCATTTACTGTTTGCAGCTCAAAGCCGCTGACTACAGCACACGAGAGCATGTTTTCATAGCATGTTTCAGCTCTGCGTTCAGCGGGACAAACCTCTGATCCAGAACGACAGCAGAGCGGATCTGACCACTGGGAGTCACCTTCACTTCAACTTGACCTTTCCCGTCTCAGACTTTCCCAGCGGACAGGAAACGTTCTGGCAAGGCTCTCTCAAAGTTATGAACAAATGTTCTTCCAGTAAAGTTATCTGGTCTTTAATAATGTTCTCAAAGTGTTAGCGCAAAAATGTTATTTATACATCGGTCATGTTATTTTATTATCATTGAGATACTATTATAGATTTTTATTAATATTTTGAATCAGTTTCTCTTTTATTTTCCATTTTAATTGTCATAGTAATTTTGGAATGTTCTCTTAATGCTAAAAAAAAAAATATATATATATATATATATTTTTTTGTTGTTGTTGTTGTTGTTGTTGTTGTTGCTGGATTCGTGCTCTAAAGATGCTTTTGAACATTCCAGTTTGGTTGTTGTATCATTACAATGTCCAGTTTTCTGTCACTATCCTCAGTCACCAGTCCAGTCCACTGGAAACTACATTTCCCAGCATCCCTTCTGGTCAACACCTGCCCTCAGTCAGCCATCACCACACCTGTCATAGATGATCTCATCAAGCCCTGTATAAGAGCAGTTACTCTCCACATCCTCGTCTGGTCTCGTCTCTCCACGTATGAGGACTTACCCGTCTTCTTCCTTGGGTACTTCCATGTCTTCGATCAGTGTTCACTAAAACGTCACCACACACCCGCAACAAACAAACAACTGTTTATGCTCAAGGTAAGTGCTCTCTATGTTCATAGAATTATATACTCACCTGTTTACCACCTTGCTTCTCTGGATCATCTGTGAATAAAGACTTTGTTGATGTTCCCTCTGAGTCTTCTCCTTCTGTTCCTGCAGCATTTACATTTATGCATTTAGTGGACGCTTTTATTAACTTTACAACCGTTTAGTCGGTTGCAATTCTATTTGATGATTCTAGTTGCATAGAAATGACACTCTTTAGCTTTAAAGGCAGAGTAAGTGATTTCTGGTAGCCAATGGTGATATTTGAAATCACCAAAACAAACACGCCCCTACCCCAAAAGGGTCTTGCCCCTATTTTGATAGCTCCGCCCCACATATGCATACGCAACGATTAGTTCTGTGAAACAAAGCAAAACCAATGTTACACCATGTCTACGGACGTGAGCGGCGCGGCACAACAAATCCCCGACAGAAAACTGCTGCCAGGTTCTATTTATGACGTGCTGACACAAATTTCAAATGGTTTTCAACGGTCGTTTGAGCTATTCGGCCCGACTCAGTTTTCTAAAGTGTTTTTGAAAAATCACATACCCTGCCTTTAATGGCCGTGAAAATGTTGATCTCAGTGTTTTCTCTGACAACATAATGATGTTTGCATAAACTTATCCAAAGTTCTGGGACCTTCTCTCTCTGAGTGGGTTTATAGTTGATGATCAGCACGGACACGACAAAAATGGACCAACTAATAGTTTTACTTATTAATTATTTTTATGGTTTGGTTAAACACTACATTTAATATTAATAAAAAAAAATTACCTTTCCATAGACCTTCAAAGTAAAAAGATTTTTATTTACTTTTATACAACTTTCACCATTTATAAAAAAAAAAAATAAAAAAAAACCCATATTAAAGGATTTTCACTAAAAACATTTTTCTAATCAATGGTTAATTCTTTGCTTTAATTTTTCACCTAGACCAATATAAAAATCCACTTTAAATGATTTTTTTTTTTTCATTTTGATATCATAACGTCCATATCTCATCTGATTGGGTGGTCGTGTGTTTAGGGGACGTTTACTCATGTAATTGGTGGCAGGGGCTTTAAAGTCACACTGATTCTCATCTGATTTCCCAAAGAATGCTGAATACAATCCCATTAGTGAGAGAGCTAATTAAAGATGTTTGGTGTTTTCTCATTTAGTGATTTAATTACACATGCTGTATTGTTTATGAAATACAAACATGGTTTATTTTTGTAAATGATGCCATTAGACAAGTGGTGTTTTGATTATAAAGTGCTGCACTCTTGCCTTCTGATGTTTTTAAATAATTTAGAAAAATTTATACTGAAGACTTCCGCTTTTAGTAATGCTTAAAGACATTAAGTGGAGGTCATTTTTAATTAGCCATATTTGAAAAGTTTAATTGCATCTCTATTACTGTTGCTCATCTGTATTAAATGTCAGTGCGTAACTCATTCAGCATGGTTTGTGTTAAAGGAATAGTTCATCCAAAAATGAAAGTGTCCTCATCCTCCAGGTCATCCAAGATTTTAGATGAGCTTGTTTCAAACAGCTGATAAAAACATCACAATAATCCACA